TAATCTATCATTAATTGTAAGTTGTTGAAGGAATTAAGTGATAGTTGAGAGATGAAAGTTGTAACTCTCACCATTAATTGTAAGTTGTTGAAGGAGTTAAGAGATGATTGAGAGATGGAATTTGTAATTAATAGAGGGCTTGAACTCCATCTATAAAAAGGAGCCTTAGCATCTGCTAGTGAAGAAGTAAGGAGAGAAGAAAAGATAAAAAAAGCTAGAGAGCTAGTGCAAAATATAAAAAGTAAGAGATAGTTTTTTTACTTTTGTAATTTCTCATCTTCATCATAGTAAAATTTCTACAGCAGTTCTAAAAGTGGACATAACTCTCATATTAAGGGTGAACCATTATAAATCCTTGGTGTTTTGTGTAATATTGTTATTTTTTACATATAATATCTCATTCGGTCAGTAGGATAGCCTATTAATTCTCATCATTAAGATGGGTATCAATCATGACTGTGATCTTATGGCATGGTTATAGTTTTATAATTCATTATGTTTTGATAAAATTCATTTCAATTTTAAAAAAAAGGACATAAAGAAATATAAAAAAAAAACATGTAATAGTCAAGAATTACTTTCAAACGACAATTTTTTTTCCATTATAAGGTTTAAAGTATGCCTTATTTTATGTGAACCATTATAATAATATCATCAATAGTAAATGAATTTCATTTAAAAGGCAAGGAAATGGAGTATCAGATTGATAAGAATGTATAATTAATTGCTATATATAAGTATGTTATAAAGAATTTCATGAAGGTAAAAATATCTTTTTTGAGGCTTTTAAATTTTAAAAAGATATATCTATATACATAGTTAGTAAAATATGAATTAAATAAGATAAATTTTATAAATTTCAAAACTAAATATCGATGAGCTACTGTTTATCATCAAACTACAATCCTTATTCTTGGTTAAAGTGATTAAAGAAGATATTGATGTTCTTGATTCTATGTGGTGGTTCAATCCCATAGTATGCTGTCAACATTGGTCAAGCGAAGTTGTAGGTTGATTTCCTTTTGGCCTCCTTCAGAGTATTGAGTGTTGTAATTTACGTTGATGGGGTAATGAGACAGGTTGACTAGGAGTGGAGGGTTTAAGTGACTCAAGGAATGTTCAAAAGTCAAAGACTGCTAATTATTGCTATAAAATAACTTTAGGATTTTTGTGGGGCAAAGATATGTTGGGTAACTGATTATTGATGAAATTTTATTTGTGCCTTAAGTTGTATGTTAACAAAGAGTTTGCTTAAAAATTAAAGGCCTAGGGTGGTAATTTTTAAGGTATTTGAGGAGGTATGGCTTTTACGGATTCCCTTTCAAGTGGAGATGAATTTCTGATTAATTGTAACTCTCATTTTAGGTTGATTGTTCCTGTGGATTAGATAGGTGTTGGTTACAGACTTTAAGGTTGTGTTTCTAAATTTATGTTTTTGGGATTTTCCTTCGTGCTTATTTAATTCAAAATCTAGTTTGTGAATTAGAAAAAAAAGGGTAAAATTTGTAAGTAGATCTCTTTTTTTTTAATATTTTTAATATTTAAAACATATCTAATAATATAAATTTAGGTTTCGTCTACTTATTATTAGATGGAGATAAATATACATTTGAAAAAAGTAAGTTTTAAGATATAGTTTAAAATAAGATAGAAAAGCCTAATTTTTAAAATTTCAAATATTTTAAATCAAATAATTAATTGAATAGGATTATTTGGTAAAAAAATTAAAATTAAATTACTATCTTTTGTGAAAAAAAATATAAATTATCCACATAAGCATCAATATGAGATATCTTATTAGGTATTTATGTATTGTATAATAATATATATAATTGATAGATAAATTTATAATTCTTTTATTTTGAATACAAAATATATGATATACGATATGTATTTTTTATATGTAAAAAAATTTTATAAACATTTCAATATTAATAAAATTCATCAAAAAATAAATTACTAAAGTAAAAAAGTTACCATTTGATCTAATAGTTGTAAAAATAGTTCCGATATCTTTGATAAAAATTTTAGTTATTCTTTTACATTTATAAATTTCAATAATATATATGAAAAAAGTTAAAGTTTATAAGTTAGAAAAAATGTATTCAAAGTTTAATGAACTTCCTTTTACACATAAAAATACACTCTAAACTCAAGCAATAGTTAAAGATTTTAAAAAAACTATTAATAAATTGTGTTTGACTCAATTTGGCATTAAAAATAATGTCGTACTAGACAAGGCATGACAAACAAAGATTATGGACTATGTGTCACAGTAAATCATACTCTTAGCATTTGTGATCTTATCGTCACAACGTGTTAAATAATAATACTGAGTTAGTACGGTCCATTAACACATAGATTAATATTTAAATGGATTGTATCAATTGACATAACCTGTTTGACACTTCTACACTTACTACAAAAGGGAAAATAAGTGAAAATGGCAAAGAACAGAAAGCAACTGAAAAAAAAAAGAATAAGAAAATAAAATAAGAAAAGAATTTTTGAGAGAAAAAATAAAACTTTGTTTTTTGGACTTTTCATAACTTTTTATTCTTTATTTAAAAAAAAACACTTCAAATAAAACAATATAATTTAGCATGAGTTAATAAAAATATTATTAAATATGTACACTTTGTTATTGAATTTGTTTTGTAATTAAGCAAAAATATTTTGAATTCTTTTACGAAAAACAAGGAAAAGAAAAAAAAGACTATACATATTAAAATTAAAAAAGGTAATGAAAATATGAATTTATTATATTACTCTACTTGTTACCTCATGTTTCATTTTCACTTCTTTATGTTTTTTCTTATAGATATTTTTTCAAAAAATATCAATTAAAAATGTTTTATAATAATTTGGATATTTTAAAATTTTAAAAAAATTTACATATGTTTTGACATAATTCAGTTTTTTTTTTTTTAATTATGGACATTTTTCTTTGTTGTTTTTCCTTATTTTTTTAGTTCTTAATTTTTAAATGTTAACTTGAGTAAAATATTTTATACCTTTTGTAAAAAATGGAGAAAGGAAAAAGAAGAAACAAGAAAATAATAAAAAATTTATGAAAATTTTTCATCATTATATCTTTTTTTCTTTTATTTGGGTTTTTTTAAAATTTTTCTTAAATGCTTTCTTTAGAAAAGTTATAATTTAATTACTATTTGAACAAAAATCATATAATATAAAAAATTTATCAATTTTTTAAATAAAAGAGCAACGTATGTTAATGCATGCATGAGAAAAACTATATTCGTTTTAAAAAATAAATTATATCCGTAAAATTTTAAATCTATTCAATGAAATTATATTAAAGTTTACGGGACATGGGAATTTGGCTTCATGCAATTGACTTTTATTTATCTCACCTCTTTTTTTTTTTTTGGTTTGTATTTACAATCTTTTAAAACAAGCTTTAAACTTATTATGTTTTAAAAATTATTTTTTATTTAAAATCTTGATATTATGAATTTATTATATTCATTTTTTAGACTTAACACGGTAGATGATCTGATTTACATGAGGAGAAGGCAAATCCAAATCCATTAGTACCCATTGGAGATAATCCCAATTAATCTGATCATAGGCTTTCTCCAGATCAATCTTGATGATAAACCCTCTGTTTTCTCTTTTTCATGCTGAACTGCTCCTTGAAAGATCACAATATTATCAGTACCATACCTTCCAAGAATAAAACTGCTCTGTGTGGCATAAATCATATCCTTAACAAATGACCGCAACCTATTTGCAGTAATCTTCGGGAGTAACTTAACCGGACATTGCAGATTTTGATAGATCATAACTGTGCTACTTTCTTTGTTTGCTCAGCTTTCGAAATGAGGACTGCAAAAACTTTGCTCAACTCCTTATCAAAACTGCCAGTTAAGAAAACCCTCCATACAAAATGACGAATTGAATTCTTTACTATCTCCCAATTTGATTGATAGAAACCTGCTCGATAAACATTCAACCCCAGTGATTTGTAAGATGCCATTGCTGATGAAGCTCCAAAACTTTTCTCCTCTTGTGGAACAAGCATCAACACGTTTGAATTTCATCAAAACATGATAAAGCATATGGCACAATACATCAATATCATCATAAGCAAAACCGGCATCACAGACATTTTGAAAAAAAAAAAAAAAACTCAAGCACCAATCCTTTCATTTCTTTCTAATTATCAGTGCAGCAACCAGGGGCAGAGCTCTTAAGTGCCCCAGCTGAAAAAAATTAAAAGGTTATGTGTGTCTTAAATTTAACTTAAAGAGGCTTTATTGGTTCAGTTTATTTAGTGTAGAGACTAGCATTGTTTCTATCAGTTACCACTGTGAGAGAGCATATCCAGCAATAAACATCTTGAAGGCTCGTTTGTGTAATCTAATGTAAGTTCAAGGGTGAATGATAGCTTAATTGTGTACATTGAAAAAGAGTGTTCTAATGACAGTATGTAAGATCAAGGGTGACCCACGCTAAGAGGGACACAAATGCAGTTGCTCATATTTTGGCAAAAAATGCACTCACCTCGACAACTTCAACGGACTGGGTTGAGGTAATGGTAACTTAGAAGGAATTAATCCTTCTTATTTTCAAAAAAAAAATTCACTTAAAAAACTTATAATCCTACACATAATAATATTATGATGACAAAAACTGACTAATTTTTTAAAATTTTAAATATAATGTAAAAATTATATATGATGGGAATACTCAAAGTTTTAATTTTAGTAATTTTTATTTACAATTTATTTTTATTTTTATATATTCAATAGATATAAGTCCCGAAAGTAACAACTAAAAATAATAAATTTATCTAGCAAAACAAAGAAACTAAATTCATTGTTAACGGGAGAAATTGGAAAACAAGGAAAAAGAATGGAGCTTCAGAGATTGACATTTGTTTCCAATATACGACTACATATAATTTCAAAACTCCATAGAAATTCAAAATTATTAGTAATAATTTACTGAAAAAAAACTAAGAAAAAAAAAAGGCCTTAAAGGCAAATAAGATTACAACTGCCTTCCTTTTGGAAGTTCCCAAACTGTGTTGCTTGTGCATGTGCAGATTGCAGCTGCTTCATCTTCCTTCTCCTACGCTTCTAAACAATTACCAGGGCAAAATGCAGTTTCGAATTCACCCTAAATGACCATAATTGAATGACATCATTTACCTTCAAGTTATTATCTTTTACCACTGAATTCCACTCTTTTAACAAGGCATAGATTGAGCAAGTTTTCCCCGATGGCTTCTTCATATCCCATCTCTTAAAAGTCATGTCCCTCGTTTGTAAAGATGGATCAATCACCAATGCTTCTATAACTTTTGAGTCCTTATTATTACTGCCTTCTTTCAGCACATCTTTCTCTTCATCTGTAAGAAACTCGACTTTGATTTGGTTCATGGGTATCGACAGACGATTATGGTGCCTGCTCCTATCAGTTTTGAACAATGATTTTTGTATGATTAGCTTCTCATCAGCTCCTCCCATGTCTTTGATCATCTTCTTTAACCTTTCAGGCAAACCAGGTTGTGGTGGCTCATTACCAGGGCAAAAAATACCCATGCAATTTTGTTTTTGCTTCTTCCGTTTCTGGTTCTTTACTCCACTGCTTGTTTCAGCCGACTCAAAGCAACGTTTAAGATTAACCCTTTGTTCCTCTATTGGTTTGTTTCCTTGAAAACTTTGTTTCTTTGGCGAAACAGAATCAGCGTTTTTGGATGAGACTTCCTCAGTTTCGGATTCCTTAATGGAAATTTCAGTGCCAAATATTCTCACAGAAGTTCTACAGTTTTTGCTCTCAGCCGCGGCAAACCCTTGTTTGTCAAAGCTATCAGCGGTTAGGGTTTTGTGTTGGATAAATGTAAAAGGCTTGTCGTCAACACTCTTTTCTTTCGTAAGGGAAGGTTTGTGCTGATAGGGTACATACCTAGGAAAAGCGACAAGTTTATTCTCCTCAATTGTTTGGTGATTGAATTCTGAGGGATTCTCGGAGAAATCAGGTGAGTTGTTGACGGTATAATCAATCTTAAACCCTTCTCCGCGACTCATATTTTCCTTCATCAACCTCTCTTTCTCGTACTCTTCCCTAGCAGCCACGGCAACATCTACCAAGCAGTTGAAGGCAGTCCAATCTTTATCTTTTTCCCCACCCTTCCAATCCTTTAAACTCATCATCTTCTTCTTCGCTTCCATTTTTTTTGAAGGTTTTGTTTTGTTGAATAAAATCTTTAAGATTTTTTTAGCAACGTACAGTTATATATAAATAATGAAGGAACTGACATATAGAAGGTGGGAATACCTATTTCCTTTCAGTTTAATTACCTTTCTTTCATTATATGTTAGGAGTCGGAGTTTAATTTGGACTTGGAGATTGAGTTTTAATTAGCTTTTTTTTTTTTTTAAAGGTCAAAGTAAGAAAAGAGAAAATAACAGTTTTCACCTAATGTACCAGTTCAACAATATATGCTTATATATATATATATATATATATATATATAATTCAACAATATATACTTTCGTTTTAGGTTAACCTAAAGAAAGACAAATTTGGAAGGAAAAAAATTTAGACAAAATTTCTTTTATCTTTTTTTTTTCCTTTCTCTTTTACCAAATATATTTTAATTTTAAAGATAAGTACTTCTGTTTTATAATTTTAAACTTGCTAAAGGTAATGTCCTTTTTTATAAGGTATAAATTTATGGATACATTTTAAGAAGCTGGTGGATTAAATTTATTACTCATCTCCGAACAAGTATAATTGTATTTCCAATACTTTTTAGTTTGATTAAAAATTGTAAAATATTAAAATATTCCATAAAATATTTTTTAATTTCCTTAATAAATATTATTTTAATTAGCAACTCCACGATGAGTGTTTATTCGATCTATTTGTTTAATTTTGAATTTAAAATATTAATTGACCGAATTAAGTTCAATCGATTCAATTAATTTTTTTAATTAACTAAATAATAAATATATATAAGTTAAATTACATTTTAAAATCTTAATTTTTTATATTTGAAATAAATTAAATAAAATTATCCAACAAAATATTCAAATCAAGTTATTAAGTTAAAAATTCTAATAATTTCTAAATTAAAATAATTTATTTCATGTATTTTTAATTTTATATTTGAATTATATTATATTTTAACTAAAATTTTTGTTAATTTGATTAATTTTATTTTTGAACTTAATTAATTAAAAACCAAATTTTCTTTACAATCATTTTCAATAATTATCAAAATTAATTCAATAATGAACCAAGTAATCGAATTAAAGCAATTAAATTGATTAATGGATTAATTCTATTGAAATCAAATTTTGAACACCTCTAACTCTACAAATAAGGTCAAGCTAAGTTAAAGTGAATTGATACCTTTAAATTCAAACCTAAGCTTAACCCATCCATTTATATTAGTTAGGATTATTATTGTAATATTTTGTATTTTGAAATAAATAAAAATTTACTTAAAATATATTATTTATTAATAAAAAAATTTTTAAGTATAAATCCAAACTTACACCTATCATATCCAGAACCTAAGATGAGTTGAGCCAAGCCTTGACCTGTGGATGCCTTTATTTCTTATAATTTCTAAACGAAATTAAAAGGTTTAGTGAGGAAATTGTATTTATAATTGATCCATCATTTTAAGAAAACTATTAAATTTAAATGTGTAGTGATTGTTGCATAGATTAATTAAGCAAAATCCTATTGAATTTCAATGATCAATGAATTTATAATAATAGCACTAAAAAACCTATTAAAGAAACATAGACTAAACCTATTATGTGTTTTGGTTTTTTTTTTCAAAAATAAATAGTAAAAAGTAAAAAAAAAAAAAAAAAAACTCACACTCACAAGAAAAATAACAAACATATCAATCAAATTAAGTTTAATTTAACACTAATGATTGAAACAAAAACCATGAATCTTTAAGCAATTGAGGTCACCATTCTTCTTCAACACCGTTGCCCTCATACCAAGTAGTTTAGAAAATTGCATCCATGATTCAGGGTTATTTGTGGTGAAAGGCAAATAAAAGATAAAGAGAATTCTCAAAGTTAACAAAAATTTTACTTCTGTGCCAATGTAGAGTTTATAGTAAAGCCTATTGCATAAGTTTGAATGAATGCCCAAATAGCCTTAAAAAAAGCTTGATAAAAGATTCTTTTTTAAAGCCCATTGTTGGCTATTAAACAAAATAGATAAATAAAAATAAAAAAATATTAAATAAAAAACCAAATTGTAAAATTTATTTTAAAAATTAAAAAATTAATAATAAATTAAAAATAATAACAAAAGCTTTTGCCCAAAAATAAATGAGAGCTTAAATGAAATGAAGCAAACCCAAAATTTTAAAAAAAAATTAAGATAAAAAAAAAAACCTGAATAGGCCATCAAAGATAGCCAAAATGAAAAGTTTTATTCGACTTTGTATGAAAAAGGGCCCATCTTACATGAAAAAAGTCATGCATGCAACATGTGAAGAAGAAAAAACTACTACAAACTAAATAAACATGGCCTGGGATTATAGAGCAGAAAAATTGAATAAGAAAAAAATTAAAAGAGAAGTAAAGGGGAGTGGGAGAAAAAAATTGAAAAAAAAAACAAAAAAAAAATGGCAACAAATAAGGAAAAAAATCAGAAAAGAAGCAAGTAGCAAACTAGAAAAGAAGAAGCAAAAAAAAAAAAAGCAAATAAAAACTAACAAATAGTAAAAAAAAAAACAAAACAAAGTAGAAACGAAGTAGGCAAAAACCAAAAAAAAAAAAGCTAGCAACAGAAGAACGAAGGATAAACAAAAGCTTTGCACATAGAAAAAGAAGGAAAAGCAAAAACCAGAAAAAGGAAGAAGCAGAAGAAGCAAAACCCTAAACAAAACCAAAACTAAATAGAACAAAAAAAATTAAGGCAATAGGAAAAAAAAGAACTAGAAAAAGATAAAACTAAAAAATATGAGGAGAAAAAGGTTAGAAAAAAGGAATTACAAGAAGAAAAAAGGAGAGCTCATGAAAAAACAAAGAATAACAAGAGAAAGCACGAAATGAGAGGTAGTTTTTTATTCTTTTTTTCTTAGTTACGATTTTTATATGAAGTTAGTTTGTAGAAGCCTAAGGTTTCGATTCTTTTTTTCATTTCTGTTATTTTTTTTTTCATACATGAACTATATTAGAAGCTTAAAGCTTTATCTATATGTCAAACTTGCTAGTCTACATCATCTATGTGTATCAATTTACAGAAAAAAGAATGCTTTATGTACATTTTTTCTTCTTCTCTTCCCTTTGGAATGTGATTTGTGTAAATAAAGCTGAAAACCCAACTGACAAGGTTTCTAATCTAATATTGTATGGGTTTTGCATATAGAATCTTGAAGTTTCATTATTTTATTCATTTGCTTGTATTTGATTCCTCTTTTACATGGCATATTTCATCATCTTTCATGTTTATGATCGATTCTTTTTCGTAAAGGATTGATTATATGTTGTTAGACCACTTATTAGAGCTAAAAGCTTCTTCCAATTGCATAGTTTTGCCACATTTTTATGGTATGTGTGTGTGTTGTAAAGTTAAGGGTTGTAAGATCTCATTTATATATTTGCATGGTTTGGTGGAAATGGAAAAGCTTAATACCATTATGTTTACATTTATTGTTTTAGATTAGGCACATGCATTTTGTAGGTCCAATTGCTTTTTGTATGTTTTCAATTTTAAGTAGAATAAGAATATAATAAATATTAAAAATAATAAACTTTAGTATGATATGCTTGTTATAATAGGTTTTATTAGTAAGCTTAATACTTAAAAATATATAATAAATAATAATAAGTAATAAATATGTAAAAAAATAAAAATATAACCAAACTAAAATTTTTAAAACCCTATTTAGATATTTGAAGGATTCAAAATTGAATTTTAAAAGATTATTTTTGCCTAACTGTTGGGGAATTAAATCTTAGTAAAAGAAATTTGATTTTAAAAAAGACTTTAAAACATTAGAAATATAAAATTAAATCATAAAAATAAATAATAAAATTAATAAATGATAATAATAATAATAATTTTTTAAGAAAAGAAGAAAAGAAAAATAAATAATAAAATTATAATGAAAAAAATATATAAAAATATAAAAGTTTAATTTTTTAAAGAAATTATAAAAATGAGCTTACTTTGAAAATTTGTCAGATATTAGAGATTTTTAAAGAGATTTGTAAATTCCTAAAACCCTAAATTCTAGGTAAAAAAATAAATTCTAAAATAAAATCCCAAAGTGAAACCCTAAACTAAAACCCTAGAATGAGACCTTAAACAAAATCCTAAGTGAAATTTGAAACCCTAAGTGAAACCCTAAACCTAGGTAAAATCTTAAACTCTAAATGAAACCTTGAAGCCTTCGTTGAAACCAAAATAAAATCTCAAAACCCTAAATCTACCCAACATTCTAAAATCATTTCAAAATTTAAGGATTTGTGTGAAAACTTCCTATGAGGTAATTTGTTCCTAAATGCTATCTAGATGATAGGGTATTTAAAAAATTTTATTTCATTAAGATTGTTTATATAATTCATTAGTTAAAATAATAATAAAATTAAATAAAAAATAAAAAATGAGATTTTAAATATAAAAAGTTGCACAAAAGATCTACCTAGAGATTGAAAAATTCAGGTGATCTTTTTATATTTAAGGACCTGATCTTAAATTCGCATCTCATCATCACTTATGACATATATTTGCTTATATCCCATTTTAGAGTAATGTTTGCACTTATTACGCATAATATATATATATATATACATATATTTATATATATTATTGATGTTTATGGTTAATTATAGTTTTTTTTTTGCAAAAAAAGTTCTTTAAAAAATTAATTTTAATTAAAATAAAATTAAAATAACATTTCGAGAAATATAATTTTTTTTATACTTTGTCTAAGAGTTGAAGAGTCACCAACAATTATCATTTGCAAAGAATGTTATTTTCACTTTTAAAGGAAATTTTTTGTGAATCTCAGATGAAAAGGATTATTTTTGAATTTCGTCTAAATATTGAAGAATTATAAGATATTTTTTTAATCTAAATATTTTCACAATATTTCTAAATAAAGATTTAATTGATTTTCTTTTTTAAAAAAAGAGAATTATTATTAAATCTTAAATAAAAATCATTTTTATCCAAAAATATAAAT